TGCAAATTAAAATCCAGTCATGACCACGATGATAATGTTCTTCCTTAAATTTTAAGTTCTGTACATTGACAGATTGCACACCATTAGAGAGACTTATCACCAATTTATTAATAATTTCCTAACCAAATTAGCAATTAATTACACTCTAGTGAGCCTCAAAATCTGGAATATGAGAACTCTGTGCTCTGGTCGTGCTAACAGCAACCTGAGACAAAGCAACAAAAAGGAAATTAAGGATGATAGGTGATTTTCCTTCAAATAATAAACTGTTGACCATTGCCTATTTTTTTGGACTTGCTTTAGAAAGTCTTTTTTAATCTGTGGCTCATGGCCTGCTGTACAAAACCATCCAGGCATTTTCAATGATAAGCACTCTACAGCAGATTATTTTTCATGGTATTTGGCCCCTCTTCCCAGAGATAATACATTGTGCTCCTGCAAATTGAGTCTGCTTTTCAACTCTAGCACCAAAGAAATTTCTTGTTTCTTTACATTAAGGTGTCATTTCTACCCATTCCACTAATTTGCCAGAATGGGCAAGACAGACGGGCCCATTTGTGTTCAGTGAGTTTATTTTTCCTAGTTTTCATGTGGAACGCTCATTCATATCCATGCCTTTTTTTCTCAGTGATTAGGTTTCACTTTTTTTCCCATATAATTTTCAAAATTCTCTTTTTTACTCTCCACTTATTTCTATTATCAAAGCAAAAATTGATACAAAAGGCTATTTTGTCAGTTTGTGCATCATAGAAAATTTGTCTTACATAACTCTAAGTATTTGTCTAGTAACTGCACAGCAAATTTGGCCTTTTTTTCCTTTTTTTTTTTCCCCCTCTCAGTAATGTTGCAAATCTATATCTTTTTGTATGTCATGTTTTGATCATTATAGTTTTCAATAACGAATTCCTAGTCATCTTGTACTTTTACTGTTATTGATCACTAGTTAGTTGCCTATTGCTCTTTTTTTTTTTTTTTGGTAAGAATTTTGAATGGGAAATATTCTCATGTAGCCAAATATGTAAAACTTGAATTCCTAATTTCTCCTCATCAAAAAGCCTCTCTTTTTATAAAGGAAATGTCTCTTTTTCCCAAATAGCACACTTTAGCAGATCAAAATGTGACAGAACAGTTTGCTGTTGCAACCTGCCTGAACTGCGCGTATGGAAAAGAGATCATGGGGCTGCATCAGTGACTTTTACACGAGTGATGGCACAGAATTAGCACAAAGATTTATAGCACAAAGCAGACAGGGTGCCTTTGAGTTATGGGACTTTTATCAAAGAAAAACTTTTTAAAAAAAGATAAAACATTTAAGTCTCTTGTTCAGAGGACCGGTTCAGTCTCACAGCTTTGTCTCCAGTGCCATCTGCTGACACGAGCTTCCATTGCAAGAAAAAGGTTCCTCCAGAAGCCAATTCTGTCGAGTTCTGTGCCTGTGGTCATTGATGCTACCAAAAACTTCTCTTCGAAGTGATGAATTTCACTTATTTTTAGATGTCGTGTTCTTTGTGGAGGTTTTCAGTAGAGCTACTTGTCGTGTATTGCCATCACACATTGCACATAAAGGTGTTTAGAAAATTCCGAATCTCAGTGCATTCAAATGAGCAAAAAGAGGAGCTGTGTGAAAATCTTAAAACTGCTCCAGACACAGAACAATCAGGTTCCCTAAATTTAAATGAATATGACCACATTTTGCCCTGAAGTTGTAATTTGATGTGGTAATTGTTTGATCTGGAGATCTTTACTAACAATATTTCTTGTCTGAAAACCTTTTACACCCAAGAAAGATCTTGGCTTTTAATCCCACTGCAGTTAAAATAGTTTATCTTCTTAAGATGGCACCTCACAGGGGAACAACATAAAATACAAATACTGAATTTTCCAGTATGGAAAAGTGGACAACACTTCCTGGAAAAAAAATGTGTCAAGCAAGCATCAGGAAAAAACTAGCAAATATATTGCTTTTGTTCCAACTCTAAGGTATCTCACCAGAATTTTAACACTGATCTGATTTTTATGTGCTTATTCATGAAATTGGAAATAACAGTGTAAAAGAAATCAGAGTCCTTATGTGTGTTTTTTTCTTTTGACCCTCTTTCCACACGATTGCATCTCTCCCTCTTTTGTTGTCGTCTCCTCACAGAAAAGTGGAGAAACCTTGCCATCTTGTGGTCAATGATAGTTATTAGTCTAACAAAAACAGACTGCAAATACTGTAGTGGTCACCATGTGGAGAGCTGCAAATTCAGTGAATTTAAGGAAAAAACCCAGAAATTAACAGAATTGTTAAATCTGAAGAAAGTGCAATATTCTTTTGCCAGTTTTTTTAGAAACTGAAATAATAGAAATGGCTCAGAGCAAGAAAGAATACAACAGGGTGTGATGTACTTTTTTTTTTTTTTTTTTAAATTCAGCTGACAAGCTCTGTTAACCAGTTGAGACACAATGAATATTTTATTTTGACAGATAATTGACGTTTGCTAAGCAATCCTATGATCAAATTCACAAGCTTTCATCACAAGTTTAAACTTAGATGAGCTACAGAAACCTGTTTAGTCTGCTGTGGATCAGCAAAAAAGATCTGATTTTCATTTTGTCTGAAACCCCAAACATGAAATGTTTAAAAGTTGTAGCTTCCATGGGAAACAGAAGATACAGGCAGCAGATTTTGCTTCCAGGTGCTTCTCACAAGATCTGGTCAAGTAGTTTTGGCCACCTCCCTGCCTTAAGAGTGGTTCCCAAGGAGAGAAAATGTCCACTTGATGAAGCAGATCCTCTCTCTGCCTTTCCACAGTGAACAGACAAAAAAGGTTATATCTGTCCTGTGGTGATTTGTGTCCACTGAAAAAGCTAGTCAAAATTATATATCTAATTTAGGCAAGCAGCCGGTCTTATATTTCTCTGGTCACCCACAATAAAGACAGAAACACAAATTGAGAGTCATGTGCCTTATATAAAGTTCTTTTGTTGCTTGAAGAAGTTCAAGTTTCCTTCCCTGCTATGATCTGGTAAGACTTTGCAATGGGGTTTTGCATATAAACCCATGCAGTTATTCTCACTGTTGTAAGACAGATTTTTTTCTTTTTTTAAAATTTGCTATATTTTTTGTGCTCTTCAAATGAGAAGCTCTTATCCAAGCCCCTGAATGTGGAGATTTACTGGCAGTGATATGTAATGGAGCATTTCTGGATGGACTCCTTAACAACCCATAGAGGGTATCTGAAAATGAAACCCACTTCAGAATTCTCTCTTGCATCAAAGACTATTGTGGAATAGTCAATAATACAATTAAACACTTTTATACCAACGCAAGGTACTCGCAACCAGAATACCTATAAAACTGGTCCTTGACTCAATTTTTTTTTTCAAAATACGTTATTGTGTTGCAGGATAAGTGATAACCCTTAACCATCCTAGGATGATTTCAAAAACTTTCTCTCTGGATGCTTTAGGTCCTGAGCCTGGGAACATTCCCTGGTTCAGCTTAATTACCATTGGCGTGGATAAAATATTTTTACCTCCCTTTTATAGCAGTGGATTTGGCTCTGAATCCTAAAGGCAAACACTGAGTTATGAATTAATGTCTTATTCATAAAAAACACATTATGCCCATTAATTGTAATGAAGTTTCTTTCTCAAACAACAACAAAAAAATTCTCTGCTACCTACTTGAAGAAAAAAAATGGCTGAGGAGAATTTCTCGAGGAGAATTCAAGAAAATTCCAGTTCTACTGCATCAGGAAAAGAAATATATACGTGCCATGGCTCAAAAGGTTCTGGGAAGGTGTTTTATATTTCCATTATTTCAATTTATATTATTTTTGTTATTTCTATTTGTATTTCTATTTCTGTTTCTAATTCTCTTTCTCTTTCTAGTTATCTTGTTTTAATGTTTGTCATAGCACTGTAACTAAAATTAGGACATCAAAGCCTAAACTTGATATGTAAATTTGAGTTCTGCTCAAATTTGACGAGACAGAAAAAAAGATTAAAACTCCATGTTAACAATAGAGAATTTCTATATCATTAAAAAAACCCAAAACACACCTTGTCAGTAAAATGCTGAAATACTTCACAATAAAACCAAGATCCATTCTACCCTGCCTGGAGGCAAAGGTATGAAGGGCAAGACAGCAGATTTATTTCTAGGAAATTTACATGTTTCATAAAATTTCTCTTACCAAATTGAAAGCACGGCATTGAAACTGAAGTATAGATAATCAGAGGAAACAATCTTTATAATGAAGCAAGTCATAAGTAAGGATGAGAAGGGTTATCTTTGAATTGAAGGTTGAATGTAATGTTCATCCTAACAATTAGCTTCTTTGCATGAATATTAAGAGTTGGGTAGACTGAACCTAGGCAGTAAAATATTCAAGCTTTAAAAACTGCCTTAGCTGCTCCACCAGTGACATATCTGAAGAATTATTTTGAAATCTGTGAAGTTTAATTTCTTAAGAAAAAAAAAATAGCAACAGCCATGAGCAGAAATATAAATAGAAGTATATTTGTTTATGACTCCTTTACAGCCATTGTTTGCTACATTTAAAAAGCAGCC